CACCCTCACCCTGATCTATACGCCCCCACTTCCTTATCTAAATGTCCATAAAGACCATCATTCCTTGTTTCCTCCCTCTCCCGTGTGGAGTGCATGAAACCTTGTTGGGCCTACCTACTGTGGGCCTCTCACGGAGGGCAATGGGTGGGAACTGAAGTGATTGTATTGTCTGGCGGGTGGGACAGCATCCTCTCTACGGGTCATGCTCCTACAGGGTCGAAACATTGGCTGGTGAGTTCCAGCGACTCGCACAGCCTGTTGATCCAGTCCGGGCTTGGGTCAGTGATGCTGGCGCCTCTCAAGGAAACGGCCACGCGCTTGAGAAGGCTGCGACACGCCATGTTCTTGCTGAGGTGCTTGAGGCCCTCCGCGTAGATGTGCCGCAGGCTCTCTGTCGACAAGAGAGGAACAATGCCGTCGATGGCTTGCGGACCGGTCCAAAGGTCCATCGTGGAGGAGACAATGTACTCGAGGTTCGGCGTGCCGAGGCAATCCGGCCCCAGCGTTTGGCCCGCAAGCCAGGCAAAACATCTGCCGATGATGACGCAGATGGCTTCGGTGACGACTGGGTCGTGGGGCTTTTCGTCGTTTTTGGTGCCTGACCTGTCGTACTTCGGCAGAACGCGAAAGCAGGCGTTGATCAGGCGCTTGACGACTGAGGCGTTCGCGGCCGCTATGTTGCTCATGGAAGCCCACGACACGAGTGCCCGTGCCAGTTGCTCGGCGTCTTGCTTTTGTTCCGTGGTGTCGGTGATTCTGCTGCTGAGGGTGACCTGCTCCGATAGGAAGTGGCCAAACAGAGCGAGGTTGCCGGGATCGCTGCCGGCGACCTGGGCAGAGGGACGTGTTGCTGCAATGAGGGTGTCCGTGTGGCGAATGAACATGGCGCGCAGATGCGAAGAAGAATGGAGATCATGCGCAGAGGGGCGACACGAGTCGGGGGAGGAAGCGAGTGTCCTGAGCGAGAGCCACGAAGCCTCGATCATGGTGAACGTGTTGCTGCAAGAACGGTTGCTCTTGCTGTATGCCTTGGCGATGTCGTGTGATGTGTCCCAATCTCGCTTCAGCCGGTGGAACGTGGCGCTGTTGCGGAGAGGGTCGACCCGAGCCTCAGCGATGAGGGACTCGGACACGCGCAGCAGCCTCGCCGCGCCCTGGCCGAAAGGGAAGGAGAAGACGGCCGCATGGGCAGCCTCCCAGAGTTTCTGGAGATGGGAGGAGTGACTGATGATCATGTCGAGAATTGTGCCCTGGCAGTCGTGCGCCCGCCAAGACGATGCGGCGCTGGGAGAGTTTTTGCGCTTGGAGTAGGCTTCGAACGAGGCGATGGCGGCGATCCACATGGTTCCTTGGGCTTGGAACGCCTCGATGGCATCCAGCGTCTGGCGGACTATCTCGACGCTCTGTCCGTAGAGATGGTAGGATGAGAACCATGCGCGGCTGGGCTTGACCGTCAGCGTCGCGCGCTCGGTGACCTTGGCATCGCCGCCCAGTTGCAGGTCGAATTGCAGGCGGGCGCTCAGCACCCAGGGCATAACCTCGGCCATCAGCCCGCCGCCGTCGTCGCCGAAGAAGCACGCGCGGAGCGGTTTGCTCGCCGCCAGCACATTGCACAGACAGCGTGGCGGAAGCAGGGACAGATAGTGAGTGGTAATGGCTTTTTCGTTCGAGAGGAGCACATGAAGCAAGCACCACTCGCTGTCGTCGTTGTCTACATCTATCCTGGCTTTCTTGTTGGCAGAGGTCTCTCGTTGTGGGTCGGGGAGATTGTCTCCACCATCGTCGTTATCGACGTCGGCCAAGGCACGCTTCATTGCTGAGTTGACCGATCACTGTTGCGCTCGCGGACGAGATGTGAGTCGAATAGGCAGGAGCAGAAGATGGCACTTGCCTCAACACCAATATGAAGCCCCTAATCGCCAGAGGCGAGACGTACAGCGCGAGCACCAGCATCATCATTTTCAACAGTACGCGTCCTGCTTCTCTCAAGTGATGTTCGATTCGTATTTCCCGCACCAAAACCCGAGGCTGCGTGGAAGCTGCGGTGATGCCAAAAACCCGCAGCAGCGAGTTAGAGATCTCTTGGCCACACTATAATCGGTGTTGGCGATTCACACGTGGGTTACGTATCTTTTCTTCGCTCTCAAGACCAGCCAAAGACACAGTCGTCGTTGATGTGTATGGATGTGGACAAGAGCGCAAGTCAGTAGCAGATGTAGTACGAAAAGACCAAGTGTTACGACCCTGGTCTGTCTCATAAGACAGTTGTCGATGTATGATTGTGTTGTCGTCTGATCTTGTCTCTTTCTCTACACAGTTGCTACATCTGCCTCACTTTGACCTGCGCAAAGAGAAGCAAGTGGGGGTTCAATCGAAATCGCAATCAAATCACGCGTGAGGAGAGTGGCAATTTGAGGAGCGATAAGTAAATTCGCGGTTTTTAGAATGAATGAAATGGGAGAAGGTGGTAGTTGTTATGGCAGTCGTTGCAGCAGTTCAGAGGTCTCATATGCTCATGGCGTGTCTGTCTTCATTGTGTGCGTGGGCGCGGACTTGTGGGCAAGTGTGGTAGGTGAAACAACTCTCCCTGGTGTTCAAAGGCCTCCCTTTTATGTCACCCCCCCCAGTGCGCATAAACGTGCTTCATCATACTTTTTTGTGTGCTCATTCTGCCAGGCGAACCCATTTTACGGCAGACAAGCCCGAACCCTAACCCATGGGTGTATCCTTAAGGGTCCAGTTTGGGCTAAAATCCAAAAAAAGAATGACCATGGGTCCCTTGCTGCCCCATCACAATTTCAAGAATTTTATTTTTTTGCTGCACTGGTGCTGCCATGGACTTGGGTTGACACCATAGGTATCACTGCAAAATACAAAGAAGAATGAGGATGGCGGCATGTTGTGACATGTAAGGCTTTTTCTTTCTTGTTCACTTGAACAAGATAGATTCTAGAGCAAAAATGCTCTTGAACAAACCTAGAATCACCTCAATTAGGATGATTTTTTCATCCAATCAAAGGTACATTTTTTTCGCCCCCCCCCCACCCAATGATTGGTGCCATCTTGTTGAAATTAGTTATTTTTGGGGGTTGTGTGTCTTGTACATAGGCACACATGACACATGGCCTCCAAGTTGATGATGGGCCTCTCATGCCTCAGATTGACTCAATTTGCCACCCACAATCACTGTGGCCAGCAGGGGATTTCGCCAAGTCCACTCAGAGAAATTGTCAAAAAAGAAAAATAAATCTTTTGAGAAATTTTTTTGCTGACTTTTTCTTGGGCAGGGGGACGGACTTCGCTGAGCGAGCAGCATTTTTTGAATTTTATCACATTCTTCAAACGCCGATGGGGCAGCAAGGGACCCACAGTCATTCTTTTTTTCGGATTTTAGCCCAAACTGGACCCTTAAGGGTCCAGTTTGGGATGTTTTTGGGGTTGTGCTGGTTTCAAAAAAAATTCTGAAAACAAACTATTAAAACAAATTTTCTCTTTTTTTCATTTTTTCTTCTGCGATCCGCGACCTGCGACCTGCGACCTAAAATTCCCGACCTGCGACCTGCGACCTGCGACCTAAAATTTGCGACAGCGACCCGCGACCGAAAATATGCGACCCGCGACCTAAAATTTGCGACCTGCGACCTGCGACCATAAATTTGCCACTTGCGACCACGGCGGAGAAGGTGCGAATGGAGTTCTCACCGACCGGACGGAGCCTGTGCCCGCTGGAGAAGATACGCGCCGCGCGCGTGGTCCAGTTCCAGAATTTGCATGCGTGCACTCGCTGCCCTCCCGACCATGTGGAATGTATCCTGCTCTGTAATAAATTACTTTATCATACGAGTACAGGGCTGTGGAGCTGCACTGCGGCTGCCCGTCGTCTGAGCATTCTCACCACCAATGCCACGGCAATG